CGGGCACCTGTAGTCCCAGCTACTTGGGAGGCTGAGGCAAGAGAATCGCTCAAGTCCAAGAGTTTGAGGTTGCTGTGATGCCAGGGTATTCTACCAAGGGTAACATAGTGAAACTCTGTCTCAAAAAAATAAATAAATAAAATAAAATCATGGGGCGGTGCCTATGGCTCAGTGAGTAGAGCGCCGGCTCCATATGCCAAACGTGGTGGGCTCAAACCCATCCCTGGCCAAACTGCAAGAACAAAAAAATATATATATATAGCCAGGCATTATGGCCGGCACCTATAGTCCCAGCTACTCCGGAGGCTGAGGCAGGAGAATCGCCTAAGCCCAGGAGTTGGAGGTTGCTAAGAGCTGTGATGCCACAGCACTCTACCGAGGGCCTTAAAGTGAGACTCTGTCTCGAAAAATAAATAAATAAATAAATAAATAAATAAAATCATGTCTCAGGTGAGAAAGGGAGGCCAAGAAAGGCTTCAGCACCATGGAGAGCTGGCTCAGGTGGGAGCTCACAGGGAGTCTCAGGCCTGGCAGGAAGGTACTCAGTCCCATACCCTGTTCTTTGCTCCTCTCTCCTTAGGAGCCACCTACAGTCCACCCACTCAGCAAGCATGTTGGGGGCCCTACCTCTGCACAGCTCTGGAACTAGGGGCTTCCTCACCAACTCAAGGTCCTCTCTGTGGTATCTGTCATCCTCAGCTCAGTTCCTGGCATATAAGCCCTAGGAACTGGGAAATCAAACGAACCCAAAGGTAGTGCCTACTACACCCATGGACCTGGCCCTTCACACTGTGGGGACACAAAAATGAAGAACTCATGCACTCTTCCTGGATTAGTCAGTCTTACCTACAACCACATCATTCCATTGGACTGTGGCCCTGCTGTGAGGAGGCAAAGGTGCACACCTCCCACTGTGCAGGAGAGGCCTGCATGGAGACACACAAAGCCAAGGCCAGGCGCCACATTATGTGCCTTGTGGTGGGACAGCAGCCCTGGCTTCCCTGTGCCTCAAACTCACCTGTCCACAGGCTGGCCTTGGTTCCTCTCTTTTCAGCCGCCTGCAGAATTAAGGCCCCTGGCTCCTCTCCTTGCTCCAAGAGAGAGATCAGTGCTGGTTTAGCGACAAGAAAGCCTAAGTGCAGGAAGTGAAAGCAGCATGTGACTGGGTGCAGAGAGGGACACTAGCTGCCTTCGAGAGACCTTGGTAGCACAGGGGGCTCACTATCCTGGGGCTGGTGGGGAATGGGGTGAGACTGGGTAGCAGCTTCCCCTCTAAATATGTCAAAGTCTGCATTTGGAAAAGAGCTTACTTCCCAGGGCCTGGTGGATGAGGCAGAATCATGTCTGAGCCTAAGACAGAAATACCTCCCAGCCCCAAGACCAACAAAGAATCCCTCACCCAGCGAGGCCAGGTTCCTGTAGTTGTCCAACATAACGTCTCTGTAGAGTGCCCGCTGATCAGGGGTCAGGCAACTCCACTCTATCCTCGTGAAGTACACAGCCACATCCTCAAATGCGATGATCTCCTGCAACCACACACTCTGCTGTCCTGGGTAGTCGAGGCCTCAGCAAGAACCCAGGAGATGGGGAGGCCACATTAGGAACATTTACATGATGTGTCCAGCTCTGGGAGTTGAGGCCTCTGTCCTAACTGGTCACTGTCACATTCCCAGGGCTCAGCATAGAGGGGATACCCCCTAACATTTCCCAAAGAAGTGGCCTCCTCCTTAGCACAACCCCAGAAGAGGGGTAAAGTGAAGCTGGAAAAAGGAAGGAGATTCTGCTAGGAAGGAGGTCTCACAAAACAAACCAAAAAAAAAAAAAAAAAAAAGGAAGAGGCAGCGCCTGTGGCTCAAAGGAGTACGGCGCCAGCCTCATATACTGGAGGTGGTGGGTTTGAACCCAGCCCTGGCCAAAAACTGCAAAAAAAAAAAGAAAGGAAGGAGGTCTCAACCTTGGCTTCATACTTATTCAACAGGCCATTAGGTACATGGGGACAAAGCACCCCAGAGACACTAGTGGTCTAGTCTCCACACTGGGGTGAGTGTTCTGCCTTCTGGTCTTGATTTCCAACACCAGCAGGAAAGCAGGGACTGACCACTCACATCAGGATGGAGGCAGGTGCTAGGCATGTCAGGTGCTGGTTGACCCTAGATGCTTAGGACCTACAGGGGGCCCCAGATAGCCCACTTCTGCCCAAAGCCTCAGGAAGGAGTTGACAGAGCCTTGTGTGAAGTCTGGCCATGGAGGGAGGAAGTGACCCTTGGCTTGCAGATTCCATTCTGTTAAGTGAGTGGGCCTCAGGTGTCCTGGGAAGATGCCCAGGGCTGAAAGGCTAAGGTTGGGGGAAAGGCAGTCTCCTAGGGCAGCAGATAGGCACAGAAGGAACACTCACCTGAGGTCCAAGCATTGGGAGTGCCATTGCCATTCCAGGGTATATGGTGGGATGCAACAGGTACTAGAGATGAGCACTGAGAGAATACATAGCCATGAGGGGGAGGAACCTAGGCATGAGGCCCCACATCCTCAGACAGATCCCCAGATCCAGAAGAGACCAGGAAATGGTGAGATGCTGAGGCAAACACATCAACCACCTCCTTCACATCCCAAGAAGCTACACCTGAGACCTGCTCACCTACAACTTCTCACCTCTTCGAGCATTTGCTGAACGACATGTTCCCAGGGAGGTCCTCCATGATACTATTTGAAAGTGCTGCCTCCCCTGTCACCAGAATTCCTTATCCTCACTCTTGGTTTAAATTTCTTCGTAGCATTCTGTCATTTGACATAAGACCAGTTAACCTACTTGCCTCTTACCCACTTTCTCTCATGAAACAAGGCCTCTAATCTGTATCCCCAGGGCCTGGCACTTGGGGAGTGCTCATTAAGAATCTGTGAAATGGGCTTGGCGCCTGTGGTTCAAGCGGCTAAGGCGCCAGCCACATACACCTAAGGTGGCGGGTTCGAATCCCCAGCCCGGGCCCG